ACTTACTAAGGGCAATTTACAGGTACTTATTGATAAATACACTGTTTGCCAATTGGGCAGCGGACTACTTCGTCGCTGAGGCGTGCAGCTGGGGCTTCGGCATCCTCTTCGTGCTGCTCTTCTTCGTCGGCAAGGCGCAGAACCGCAAGATTGCGGACAAGTGGTACGGTAATATTTGATGCTGAACTGGAGAGTGGGGCATTGCTAATTGAGGGTAATGTGGCAGGCTGGAGGAAGCGGAACCTGTGTTGCGCACCCAGTTCTCGTACACGGGATCGTCGGTGGAGAACGGCATGGGCCTCCTTGAGGAGAGCCGCAGCAACTTCAAGTACTTCTGCACTGGCCGCCGCTTCTTGACGCGCTTCGTGGCTGACCTGGAGGTATTTGCTGTTTATATGATGACAAGTGCAATAATGGAATTGTGCTGACTGGTGTTGCGCTGTGCGTTGGGCAGCTGAAATCTCGCCACGATCTCATCTCGCGACTCTACCGCATCGTCGTGCCGACGTCGGACTTTTTGGTAAGCACAAATTTTATTGAGAATTTAATTCTACTATGAACGTCTTAGTACTAACACGTGTGTCTAATATGTAGACGATCGATGTTGGTCTCCATGGTGAAGATGTGGACCCGTTCATTCTCGGTATCTGCAAGAAGCTGGGCTTCACCGCTCTGTCCAAGATTTTTCCTGAACTGGTGCGTTTTGTCATTTGTGCGATTGTGGTGGCCATTTCTTATCTTTATTCGAATTTGTAGATTGAAACAGCGAAGCAAGTCCCGGTTAAGGAGGTACCCGAGTCGATGTGGGTTTCTACGGACTGCACTGAGATCCCCAAGGCAGCGCTGACGCACTCCATTCAGGCGGTAATCATCTTCTATCTCAAAGGCGTGGATTTTTTTAATGTATCATCTCACAGTGGGTCTTTTTGTAGTCTCTCAACGAACTGGAAGACTTTCTGGAGTACATCGTGATCACGGACATGAACAAGCAACTGATTATGTGAGTATTTGTGTTGACAAGCTACTGCGGACTCCATGACTGACTGCTCGCTGGTTGGCTGTTGTCATCTTGTAGTGGTATGCCAAGGACGCAGAAGCACGTGTTGAGAGTCCGCTTCAAGCTCCAGGTTGGCTCAAAGAAGCTGGATGTTCCAAAGGCGCTCCAGCTCGTCTTTGCCCTGGTTGACGGTGCAGGAGCCACGATCAAGCTGTCGCCGAATGTACGTCGGATGCTGCTTACTATGTGATTATGATGTGCCGTTAACAATACTGTCTTATCATATGCAGGCTAAGCACAGCGCGATCAAGAGACGCTTGAAGATCAAGCAGGCTGCTGAGGCTCTGGCTTCTGCTCAAGAAGATGTACGTGTTGTAAAGCGCCTTGAGTGAAATATGACGGTGATTAACCGCTAATGCTTCTTATTCTTGCAGAATATCTCCCGCCGCCAGGCAGAGTTGAACGAGAAGAAGCAGAAGGAATACGAGTCGCTGTCGTACGAAGAGCAGCAGAAGATCGACGCGAAGAACGAGAAGAGGGCTACTCGCAAGCGCTTCAACCGCAAGGCACGACTTTGACTTGACAATGACCATTGGTGGTAAACTGTACTGACGACGCTCGTTACTTTACTATTGTGTACTTAGAAATAAGCACATGCTCTTAGGAACGAGCTGCTGGAAGAGGAAGGTTGTACGTGTCAGATCAAGTCCGCGGGTTCAAGTCTATCCTTTTCATTGTATGGCTTTGTTAACGATCCAGCGAGTGCGTAGGCTAGCAGACTGTCAATAGACAACATTTTGGCATCACACAACGGGTGCCTCGTGTGTCTTTCGATTATCTGGGGCTCGTTGTAACTTTGGCGAATCTCATGCAGAATCGCTGGTAGCAGCACGAAGTGCGACTTTCATTTTCAGAAATATCACGTTCGTAGACAATTTTCTCCTTATTTATGAATTTGAGTGGATAGTTCCGAAGAATTATGGTCACTCTTCAAGCAGCTTCAGCACAGCACAGTCTCCGCTACGCTAGAACCTTCGTTCTCTCTTACGCGAGCACCTCCAGACCGCCGCACTGCCAGCACCAGCACACTCTAGCGGTCGTTTGTCTCTCGTTGTCTGTCCCTCTCTTCTTATCTGTAGGTCTAACTTCATGTAAGATAGAACAGCTTCAACCAGGAGAGAAAAGTCGCTCCTGACGGCTTTTCTCTACTGTTTTCTGTCTCTTTTTGCCATATTCTCTCCGTCGGAAGTCTCAAGCATCTGCTTCTACCCAGTCGAAGCCACTGCAAAGTCGTACCGACGCTCTAGAGCCAAAAAGCTCACAAAAACATGGAGCTCAGCTACCCGCTCGTGCGCGTGCCCTTCGAGGGCGCCAGCAAGAGCTTCCGTCTGTACCACAAGCAACTGACGCGCGAGTTGGCACAGGCCGCAGCTCAGATCGAGGCGCTGGACGACGGCGACGGGCAGCACCCAGGCCATCGCATGGACGTCGAGGTGGCTATCAAGAAGCTCGCGGAGCTGGCGGAGAAGCTCCGGGACTTGAAGAAAAGCGCCAAGAATAATGTAATCGAGCAGCAGACTGATCTACAGAGTTGTGCCACGCGCACACGGTACCTTGAGAGCCTTAAAGAGGCAAAGATCGGGGGTGACCCCTCACTATTGTGCCACCAGACGGGGTCGCTCAACGACAGACTTATCGCCGACTTCTTACTGGGTCAAGGATACCTTGAGAGTGCCAAGATCATCGAAGAAACCAAAGGTGGACTGTTTAACAGGATTTATGCATCTTTTAAGCAGAAACTTAGTTTTTACGAACTGTGTAGATGTCGGCCATTTGGTGGATCACGAGCTTCATTCCGAGTGTCAAGCGGTGCTAAAGGACCTGCAGGCTCATCACACAGATAAGGCGATTGCATGGTGCTCGCAGAATGGCTCACGGCTGCGACGACTGCAGTCTTCACTGGAATTTCACCTTCGACTGCAGGATTTCATCGAATTTGTACGCGCTCACAAGCCTTTAGAGGCTGTCCAACATGCACGCACATATTTGACCCCGCTCGCAATGCAGCCAGAGAAGCAGAGTCTTCGTGATGCTGCTATTGGTGAAGTGCAGATCGCTATGGCGACACTGGCGTTCGAGTCGCCCGAAAAATGCGGCATTGAAGCGTACGAGAAGGTCTTTGCAATGGACAGATGGCTGACACTGGAGAAAATGTTTCGCAAAGCATTCAATGACGTCTATGGGATGCACGATCCGCCGTCGCTGTGTATCGCGCTGCACGCCGGACTGTCTACACTGAATACTCGGGCGTGCCATCTCACTCGAGACGCCAATTTGAAGGCGAGACTTGCACAAAGTGGAGCACGAGGCAAGCGACAACGTCGAGAAGGTGAAGAAGCTGGTGATGACAATGGAGACAGCGAAGATGAGAGCGAGGAATGGTTCAAGTCCCTTACTGCATCTGAGAAGGACGACTCTGCTAACAGCAAGAAGCGCAAATATTCGCGTGCGGAGTTACCAGTGCCGATCTGTCCAGCTTGCAGCGAAGTGGGGAGCCAATTATGCACGGGACTGCCGTTCGCGTACCACCCACACTCGAGACTGGTGTGTCGCGTAACGCAAAGTGTCATGGACGAGCACAACCCGCCGCTCGTGCTGCCTAATGGCCGAGTGTACAGCAAGCGGGGCATCGAACTCCTCACACAGCGCAGTTCCGACGGCACGATCAAGTGCGTCGACACCCAAGATGTATTCTCACCCACCGACGTCAAGCCCGTCTACATTCTCTAACACGCCCCAAAGGAAGTTGATATTCGTGTCACTTAATAAAGTCATCACCCAGAAACCTTTGCATTGATCGCTCGCTAAGTACAAAATGCCATCAGATGCGCTTTCCCAGTTGAACATTTACGCCGAAGAAGACTCGACTGTTGGCAACACACGGGGTGCAAAAGCCCCCGAGTGCTGTAAATTTTCTGTTACAGTTTGCATAAAGTCCTGCTCGTAATACATCGTCAGTATGATGCGAGGTAAAACTTCATATCGCCACAAGTCTCACCTGCGCGACTTTCTCGTTGGATTTCTTCACTCCTTCCGCAAGAAGCACGAGGTAAATGGCCTCGTCTACCCTTGAAATGTGATACGTTGTCTTCTGTCTTCGCTCTGAGTGCATAAAACTACACAATATGATCAAAATATTAGCGACGAGTATGATGCAGCTCAAATAGAGAACTTACACAGGGCGAACCGAGTCAAGCGCGGATCGATTATCCATAATGAGACTGACAATGTTCGGCCAGTGGTCAAGCGGAGGTGAAGAGCCTTCCGGATAACAGAAGACTGCTGGCCAACTGCGAAGTCCCCAGAGTTCAGAGAAGTCGTTCTGCTCTTCATTCTCCTCGCGGTCGACTCGCATAAACAGCGCGTGATTCTGCTGATCAATCGACCGACGATGTCCGTTCGCTGGTGACGCGCCTCCTCCTCTGGAAGATGCAGGCGAATGCGTACAACTACTGACACCGGAGGTGTTGGTGGAACCAGCTGAAGCAATAGCCTTTTGCTTTGCTTCTTGTTCCTCTTGATCATCTTGCTTCTCTTGATCTGTACGAGTATAAAGCGCATTGCTCGAGCTTGGACAACGATAGCCGTTCTCATAATAATGTGCGCCCTTGTTCTCTAGCGCTTGCGTCTCAAGAATAAGCATAACTTTAATTACACTTCTATCTCCTCGTTGAGCTGCAGCGTATAAGAATAAAAAAATTGGCGTTAGAGTGATACACCTCGATAAAAGAAAACCATAGCCACTTACCTCGAGATAGCAGGACGTCCATCAATCCGAGGTAAGAAATTCCGAGTGGCGTCTTGATAAAGCGAGATAGCTCCAGTGTCAGGTAGTCCGTCTTCTTCTCGAATGGTTCCAGCCAGCGATGAAAGTAAAGCGAGAACTTGGCCACAAGAGAGCGATAAAACCGCTTAGACCACTGAAACACTGGCAGAGCGAAACCATCGTCTCGTTCCTGTTTCTTCATAGAAGATGCCATCATTTCAGCCGCCACTGGGTTGGTGCTGCCACCAGCAATACCTCCACCATTTGAAACACTCTGCGTTCCAAGAGATGTACCGGCACCACCGCCACTTCCTCCCGTACCAGTTGCTCCACCCAAGATGGCTTGCTCCAGCGTGATAGTTGGCGTAGACGAGTTCGCACCTACCGAGCTGACGTACGGGTCGCCTGGTTTCTGAACGAGTCCACGTCGAATAGGCAATGCAGACGCTAATCCACCTCGTCGGAGGAGGCTGCTGTGTGATAATAGACGTTTGAAGGTGCTGTGAGTCTCCGAGGAAGCTGGGCTAGAACCGTTCAACGATACGCCGGACTGATGACTCTCGAGCAAGGCCATCTCGTCTGCGATATCATAGGAAGTATCACCCATATTAACATATCGTCCACCGCGATACGATACCAACGACTCGGCTAGCGAGGAAGGAACACCTGGAACTCCACCACTGGCATAATGTGACTCCCCGCTTAGACTCGAGTTTAGCATGTGGCCACGGGCAAGCGATGACGAGGACTGGTAACTCGTGTTGGAGTACATCGAGTCCGATGTGATGCCATAGTTATCATCCGATTCATCGAGTAGCAGTCCTTCTTCCTCACCACCAGCACCGAAGTCTACACCATTGCCTTCAAATAGCGGATAGTCTGAAACACTATCGATATGGTCACTCCAAGAGCGCAGTTGAACCTTAAGCCGATGCAGTGCCACGATCGAGCGCGTGAAGTCATACTCTGCCACGCGAACTTCACACTGGATGGCTGCATGCATCGTACTCAGCTCCTCAATGGCTGACTGCTTCATCGTCTCCAGCAACGGGTGGTCGAATGCGTCAAAGCGAAGCAGCAAATTCTCCAGTCGTTTCAGCATCTGAATGATTATTACCAAGAAAACCATTTTTTCAGCTCCAAAATTCAGCAAATTACTCCACAAAAAGCCAATCTTACACTGTGGTAGTCTCGAGGCACAGAGGAAAGTGCCAGTCCACGATAGAATTGTATCATCGGAACACGAAGCTGCGAAAAAATATCCAAGTAAGCTACAATTTGCATAAACCAATAATTGCTACCAAACTCACCGAGAAAAACTCCGCTCCTTGCTCCAGCAACTCAACGTAGTAACTCATGTCTCCACACATTGCAATCTCCATCATAAGCATGGAGTCATTTTCACACTCTTTCTCTCCCTCTCGAATTCCATTCGCCTTCCCATTGCCACTGGGCGTCGGCGTGTGCACTGAAAAGTGTCGACTCTGCCTCGCCACAATGGGTTTCAGCTCGTCTGCCAAGTGATTCATCAGCACGACCAACTTGCCA